TTCTGAATTTTGGTCAAGCCAAGTTTCAGCCATGAACATAAGATCAAGATTATGAGAAGAAATAAAATTATTGATTAAAAAAGACTTGTTACAAAGAGATCTGACATTAAGCGTAGCAAGTTTCAAAGTTTCAGTATCAGCGGTTGCGGTCGGCTGATTCTTACACGGAACAAGAATTAGATTTTCCAGATTAGACTGATTAACTCCAGATGTTTTTCTGTAATGTATTCTTTGTGTTATCACTAAGGGAATGGCACAGGTGGCTTCATGACATGGCCCCAGCCGGGTCTCTCCTCTAACTAGACTGCCAGTGGCTGCGAAGCAGAGACCCTGTGCATCCTAGTGTTTAGAGAAAAGAGGGGTAGGGGAAGGCGGGGGAGGAGGATGGAGAGGTGGGTGGCTTTTGGGTGTTGAACGAGGGGGGCAGGGAGGTGGAGGGGTTTTAGGTGATGGGTTAGGGCCGGGGTGGGCTGAGGTGGTTTTTGTAGGTGAATTGGAAACCCTAGGTGGTTTTGGAGGTACATATGGGGAGTGGTTTAGAATGTTGGACAGGACTCTAGATCGAGCTAATATGGGTGTGAGAGGAATAGTCTTCATCGCCGATTTTATTAGCCCTGCAGAGTGTTCAGGTAGGTCTAACAGTGAAGGCGGGGATGAAAAACAAAGGGAGGTGTCCCCATTCTCTCTTGATGGAGTGGACATGGCAGGGGGGACCCAAGACAGGTCCTTGGGAGGTGGCGAGGGAGTCTTTAATGGAGGGGCAGGTGGTTGAGGAAACCCCAGCACAGGCCTGTCTGCTGTAGGCTGGGGTGAGGATTGGGGCTTCAGAGGCGCTGTAGATGAAGAAGGCGTGGCTGCTTTGGAGCAGGCTGGGGATGAGGATGGTGGTGGTGGTCGTGCTGCTGGTGCTGCTACTGGTGATGATGCAGCTGCTGCTGGTGATGATGCAGCTGCTGCTGGTGATGATGCAGCTGCTGCTGGTAATGATGCAGCTGCTGCTGGTGATGATGCAGCTGCTGCTGGTGATGATGCAGCTGCTGCTGGTGATGATGCAGCTGCTTCTGATGACAGTGGAGGTGTTGAGATCCTTCGAGGTGGTTGTGGTGTTGAGATCCTTTGAGGTGGTGGTGGTGTTGAGATCCTTCGAGGTGGTGGTGGTGTTGAGATCCTTCAAGGTGGTGGAGGTGCAGAGACTTTTGGAGTCGGCTTCCTCCCTTTCGATGGCTGCACGCGCTGCGCAGGCTGAGATCTCAGGGCAAAAGAAAGGTTATCCATCAGCACTTTTACTCCGTAAGTGTTCAGATGTGGCCCTTTCCCTTCAAAAAGCTCATGCCTATTCCAGAACAGATTAAAATTCTCAATGAAGGCAAGTCCTCTGCGTGAACATTCGTTGAGTAGGAAAGTATTTAGCTGATACAGACGACTGAATTTCATTTGCTTCCCGTCCACATTTGGTAGTGGGCCACTGATAACGATTTTTGTGTCCATTTTAGCAAGGTCGTCCAATAATAGAGAGTAATCCCGTTTCAACTTTTCACTTGTGTTGTCATAGACGTCTACTGCCCCCACGTGGATCAACAATCTTTTTACCCCGCCGGTCTCAGACAGAAGCCTCGGAGCCAACCGCCTTATCTCATCCACTTTGGCAGAGTGTACTGAGTGAACCTTGAGATTACGCATATTTACATTTCTTATCGCCGAATCCCCGATAAAGAGCGACTCAGCTGCATTTGACCTTGACTGAGACTGGGACTGAGAGACTACTGCTGATTCATCTTCCAAAAGTGGTGAAAAGCGGTTTCTTGTAATTAAAGATTTTTGCTGTGGCATTATGACACTCTTGTTATCATTAGCTTTGCCTTGTTTGGGCTTGGCACCATATGTGTTCCAACAATTGTCTCTGTTGATTTTGGGAAATGAAATAGCGTCATCATAACTTACGTTTTGTCCATGTGGTCCATTTCCTTTCACTGGTATTGTTGTGTTCAGCCCCAATTCTGATTCAAGCACAAACATTCGGTCTTGAAGAAGTTTTAGCTCCTGTTTGAGTGAAAAACAGCCGTCGCAAAGTTTTGTTCTATTTTCCCGTCCTCCCGACATGCTGTAAGTTAGGTAAATTCCACCAGTCTTGTGTTGAAGTTTGTAAAAAGGAGTAATCCGTGTTTTGTGGAATAAAAATGTAAACAAAAATGATTAAAGGAGATAAAAAAGCAGCAAGCGAGGAGCAGCAAGAAAATGCGACTGCTCTGTCCAGAGCAGGAAGTAGAATCCTGCTCTGGACTGCTCTGGACATGCAGTGCAACTTCACACACAAGACAACAACTTGTCTTGTGTGTGAAGGCACGGTGGCTGAGTGGATAGCACTCTCGCCTCTCAGCAAGAAGGTCCTGGGTTCGAATCCCGGTCGGACCAGGGCCTTTCTGAGTGGAGTTTGCATGTTCTCCCCATGTCTGCGTAGGTTTCCTCCGGGTACTCCGGTTTCCCCTACCACTAAAAATATGTCCAATAGTTCTGGCATGCGCCTCCTGTACTGGCGACCCCGCTCCCATCTCTGTGTGGAGTGAGAGACAAATGCCCAAAAAAAAAATTAACAATTGTAAACCGCTTTGAGACTCAGATCTGCAGTGAAAAGGCGGTATATAAATAAAGATTACTACTATTACTACTACTACTACAACTTTTCAACACCCGAGTACTGGGAAGTCCTTCAGAGTCAAAGGCACCATCAGCTGCAAGACGAACAACGTGATCTACATGCTAAGATGCCCCTGCGGCCTGGCATACGTGGGCAAAACGACTAGACCTCTAAAGACCAGGGGCCGTATTCCTAAAGATTCTAAGAGTCCTCTCAGAGAGCTCCTATCTTAACCTAAAAACTCCTAGCTAGGAGTCTTAGCTTAAAAGTTATTCCAGAACACTCTTAGAGAACTCTGAGCAAGGAATTGACAGCAACTTTTATCTTAGTGAGGGGGCGTGGCCGACCCCGTTGCTAGGTATGAGTCATCATTTCAGACGCTGTGATTGGTTGATCCTAAAAGTTAGAGAAACCATATTTTTGATAATGGGCAAAATAAGGATCCTCTAATGGACAAACTCAATCATAGAATCTAATCTTAGGAATACTATGTCATTGTAAATAATCAGAAAAGGTAGAAAGTCAGATGTATTTACTAATATTGTCTAACTTACTGTTGACTTTTACACCACATTAGAGCTTGCTCAGCACCAATTTATCACACATATTTAACACATATTTAACAAACGTATATAACATGAGCACTTATATATATATATATATATATATATATATATAATTAGATGATTATAACATTAGGATTAGTAAAGGCTGTGATACTGAAAGACGTAAAAGGAATTAAGGAAAAAATATTAATATAAGCATTTTATACATAAACAAATCAAGTGCATGTTATTGTGAATGTCACTGTTGCATAACTGTAAATACACCTTGGAATAAACTAAGATGTAGCAACCACACTATTTAAGTTAATTTAGAATGATAAATGGAGGGTGGGAGTTTAAAAGTATTAACTTCTTCACACTCCTTTTTGAACTGGATTGCTGTTAATAAAACAATAAACAAACAATATATTTGTACATGATGACTTTTACATGATTGACTTTTAAACATGATTCCTGCAGGATCCAATCTGCAGTGTTTTACTGATTCACTGTCATCCAGTGTATAGAATATTTCTCCTGCCTCTACCGTCCACCATTTTGTCCTTAGGGAACTTTTAAGTTGCTAAAAGTCCTCCTCTCAACTCTTAAGGGATCTCCCCTTAAGAGCACTCTTAAGAGCTAGGATTCTTTAGGAATAGCTTTTTTCTTAACTAGAAGCTACTCCTCACTTTTAGGGGAAATTCTAAGAGTTGGTCAAGATTCTAAGAAAATTCTTAGAATTTGGCCACTAGGAGCAACTTTTAGCACTAAGAATCTTTAGGAATACGGCCCCAGAATTTCAGAACATCGGAGCAACATCCGCAATCATGACACAAAAAGCCCAGTGGCTGTCCACTTCACAAAAGAAAAACACAATGTGAGTACATTAAGGTACACAGGTATTGAACACGTCAAACTTCCAAACCGAGGAGGAGACATCAACTCCCAATTACTCAAACGTGAAGCCTACTGGATTTATACACTAGACACACTAAGTCCAAAGGGTCTAAACGAAGACTTTGATCTGAGACCTTTTCTATGATTCATTCTTTTGTGTGTCTTTAGACCTTCCTGTGAGTAAAGGTACCTTTTACTAGTGTAAATATTGTAAATTATAATGTAAATATGTGATGGTGTGAATATTTCACATTTTTTGGTAATGTGTATATTATTGTGTGTATATACATATATGCTGTGGTACCGTCCCATCTCTATGCTATAGTATTTTTGTCATCACACTTCAGGGGGGCTACACTTTAATGATAATGTCATTGTTTATTTTTATTTTTTTTGACTATCGAATGAGTCATGTGACCTGTCATTACTGTGTGTATATATATATACAGGTGTGTAGCCTGTGGTTTCTTTTATGGCTGATGAAGGGTAGTGACCCGAAACGTCACATCTTGTGGTGATAACATTAAAAACTCTTGGCAGCTAAAAGCTGTGCAGTCATCTCCTTTTCTTTTCATGTTTTCTATTATTGACTTTTTTTGCACGCTGCTCAGTATTGGATGTGCGCGGCAACCCCACTTTCTCTAGATTGTCTCATTTACCAACATGCCACAGATCTAAAAGTGTCCAGTCAACATTTGCACAGCTTTGCCAAACAGTAGGGGGCCTACTTATGTTCAACATTGACTTCGTTTCATGACCCTACCCCATACGAACAGGGTGTTTATCTACTGTGATGAATCTTAAACATTTTAAATGATTTTAATTTTCATTTTAAACCTCAGCACTCACCTAGCATGTATTACACATTTTCAAAAAAGTTACAATCCAATGAGTTTTTGTTTTTATTGAAAACATTGCATTGTTTATGCGTCAGCAATGGTGACTTCGACCTCTACACCGGGCTCGATGCTGATGGAGGTGATCTGCTTGACGATCTCAGATGGACTATGCAGATCAATGAGGCGCTTGTGGATCCTCATCTGGAAACGATCCCAGGTTTTGGACCCTTCACCGCAGGGAGTCTTTCTGGTGGTGATGCGCAGGGTCTAGGCAAAAAACCAACAATAGTTACTTTGGATAAACAAAAAAGTAACGCAGTCATTGCGTCTGACAGTAATACATTGAGCTGGCCAAAAAGAGAACCTTGGTAAATCTGAAGCCAAAGTTTAAACTCATGGACTGGGATCTTACTAGACAAGATGGGCCCTATAATTTACATTCTGCAACCACTATTAAGTAAACACACCTTAGTCGGCATACGGACTGGACCCTTCACCTTGAGGTTCTTCTCCTTAGCTCCACGGATCAGATCTGCACAGACTGAGAAAAAAAATTATCGTTAACATCGTAAAATTGTTAAGTACAAGACATTAACGTGATAAGCTGTGGCTCAGAATAGCGTATAAGAGTCAACAAGTGTAATCAGTCTTGAATTTCCTCCTCATGGCCAGTTTTAGTTAATGAAGATCAGTGAGAGGCATACCCTTCTCCAGTGACTTCACATTGCGGCTGGTCAAAGTGATTCTGATGCGGTGAATGGCGACCTCAGCCTCCACAGGTGCTTTTCCAGAGTCTTTGAAAGCCTGGATCAAGATTACAGTATAAGTGTGGGAGCAGGTACGAGTTTAAAGATACATAGAAGTTCCTATAATTAATTCGGTCAAACTTTATAACCAATTTTGAATGTTGGCATCTAGCCGCCTCAATAATGACAGGATACAGCTTCCAAACTGTCAATGCCCAATAAGACCAATTTTACACTAGTCTGCATTCATAATCACGTCAGTGTTTCAATTAAACACCGGTTGAATGGGGAAATCTAACATAACATTACTTTTGCTAAAATTAATAGAGTGCCTGATGTCAAGCGCTTTAGATACGTAATGAAAATACAATGTAAAACTGTACTTCAACGTGATCAACAATTAAGCCTAGACTTGAGAACACTAGGCCTAACTGAAAGCTCTTCAGAAATAAACGATGGAAATACGGGCAGAATGTAACCAGTGATGCTAGGCTACGTTAGCCAACAGGGTTGGAGAAGCCTTCATTCAGTCAGTAAATAATATTCAAGACCAATAAGCATTAAAATTGTGCACTTCAAACATTTAAGACGCGTAGCTTCCACAGAACATACCATTGCGATACTTCCTGACCGACTTATTCGGAGATAGATCAATCGAACAGCGGTGAGTCAGGAACAGGCGCCAACACCGTGAGGTTAGCTTAAGGAAAGGGCCGCGTGGAGCTCGTGCGCGCTATTTGTACCAAACATCCGGGTACTTCAACGACTTTTGTTCTTTTGTGGTTCCAGTTGCACAAACAACACGACAGCGGCATCTCCAGGCCACTGGTATGAGAACGCCTTTATTTTTTCTGTATATTATATGATATGATACTATTTATTGTAATAAACATTGTTTAAGCTCCGCCAGTTCACAGCTATATCCCTTAGAGAGTGTTTAACTAAAAAAAACAACAAAACAATACAATTAATTATTACAGATATGTGATACGTTTCAAAGCTTCAGATTTGCATTTTGCCATGGATCTAGATTTAATATTATACTTCTCTCATTTTAACTAACCACATACAAAAATACAAATATCCATGGCAAGCCAGGACAAGGCTTAAACCTAGATCATAAATACTCACAATCTTGCGAGTCAGTCTCAACTCATTTTAAATTTCATTAGATTTTTTTCAGTTCTATAAGTACACACGTGCTACGTTCCTGTTTGTTTGGATGCTTGGATGTTTGTAAATACTTGGATGTAACGTTATTCATTTATTGTGAAAGTTTTAGACGGAAGTTAATCATCCAGTTGTTTTGAGATAAAGATTTCCAAAACAAGTAACGCGACCGGGAGGCGCAGCTGTACTGTTCCTAAGATGTCCAAACTTTTGCACCATATACTGAGACTTGGGACAACTTTATCTCCTGAGCGGCAGAAATGACAACACACAAAGTCATCCAAGAGCGTCCCACTGTACGCCCAAGTGGAGCGATGGCTCCTAGATCCAGATGAGGAGATGAACTTCGGCGTTTGCGCAAATTCGCTTCTGCTTTTCCGTGCGTGTGACGAGGGGGACTATGAAACCGCTCGGAGCATTCTGGAGCCTGGAGCCCCGAAAGAGCCCGACATATTGGGCTCCCTGGTGCCGGTGGACTGCACGGATGAAGAGGGGAACACCGGCCTTCAGTTCGCCTCGGCCAGCGGGCATGACACCCTGGTTCGCTTTCTGCTGAGGAAAGGAGCCTCCGTGGACAGCCGCAACAACTACGGCTGGACCCCGCTCATGCAGGCGGCCAGGTCAGATTCCATATAGTCAGGCTCCAGATTCAGTCAGTCAGCTGTGATTGGCATGACAATGTTTTAACATGACACAATTGGTATCTAACTTTCAAAGCACTATGTCTAACTAGTTCCTTGCTCTAAAAACAGTTTGGTTATGTCATTAGTTTTCACATGCATGTTTTTATTGGCCTCTGTCAAGGTTTAAGTTCTTTATTGTCCCCTCAGGGAATTTAGGCTCACCTTGTCAAACTTTAGAGCGGATTTTTCAAATAGAAAAGTCAAAGAGAGCTCCAGCCTTACTCAGCTCTCAACCCGTCACAGTTTTCTTTCAATTATGTAAAATATGAATGTTTTCTAATAAATATGAATAAAATCAATTTATGAAACATAAAAATAAAAAAAAACACCCATCCAACACAACCACCTCAAATAACCCACAACATTATGTACATTTTACTTCACGCACACGCACACACATAGAATGGAAGCTCCATCCGAGGAGCTGTCTGCACCAGGAGCAGAGAGCCGCCAGTGGGCACAGAGGACAACCAATTTATACTTTAACAAGACTAATTGGAATAAATTATCTTTAAGTAATCCTTGTTAATTGAAATCTGCTTCTTCAGGTTTGGTCACCTTTCTGTGGCTCACATGCTTTTGGAGAATGGCGCAGAAATAAATGGGCGTAACCGTTTGGGGGCAAGCGTTCTGGCGATGGCGGCCCGCGGGGGACACACTCATGTGGTTAAGCTCCTGCTGGAGACTGGGGCTTACGTCGATGACTACGACCACCTTGCTGTGGCTGCAGACGTGGTCTCCAACGGCAACAACAACAACGGGTGAGGAATGGATTTTAGTATTCAGTTGAATATCACTATGATGGTTTTATTACAGTTATACAAAGTTTCATTTAGATTTTGAAACAAATTTGGAGGAATAATTCCCAATATCAGGAAGCTGTTCTCCAGGTTTTGTAGTATTTCATCAAACTTTACAAAATGGTTCCAGAATATCACTCCCAAAACTCTTAATTAACGCCACTAAACCAAATTGATGAGAGGTGTGTTCATTAACATGCACTGTCGAAACTAAATAAACAATAAAGACATACAAATAAAAAAGACAAATTCCCTTTACAGAAAAATAATAGAGGAAAGGAATGAATGGAGACCAATAGGAAAGCTTATGGAAATGTTTTGTTTCGCCCCCTTAAATTGGATTGGAGTGAGGATTTTTTTTCAGCTTTCAATGTTCCCTTGAATCTAAATGATCCTCGTGCACTTCGAGCTTATCCTAGCTTCAGTAACTGCAAATAGAATCGTAATCACAATGGTTAGCTTAACCTATTGCAATTAGATATCTCTTTAAAATTGTGCAGCCCTAACCAACAATGTTGTGTGTGTATGTTGCTCCAGTGGGAGTGGTTTTGGAAGCATCGAAGGCTGCAGTGGGGGCCGAGAGTTCATGGACATCACTCCCCTCATGGTGGCGTCTCAGCACGGCCATGAAGCCGTTGTGCGTCTGCTGCTCGAGTGGGGGTCTGACGTCAATTTTTCTCAGAAAACCACCGGCTGGGGCCCACTCATGGTGGCCACCCTCAGTGGAAAGGTGATCCCAGCTCCGACTGTACTTTTCAGACATTTATTAACATTCATGGACATTGGTCATTCATCCCTTTATGGACCAATGGCTCTATGTGTTTTTTATCATTGCAATTATTGTGTTTTGTTTCTTTTTAAAGTCCTTAAGGGCTATACAAAAATAAATGGAAATGAAATTAATGGTGTTGATTTAATGTATTTTATGCAAGATCCAATTTTAATAATTGTGTGATGAACATTTGGTTCCCAGCTTTAATCATAATTTATCCTGCACAGACTAAACATGTTTGCACACTTCTGGCTTTTGCACAATCTGAGTGATTTTATCTTTGCCAAATGTGACATGTAAATTTCTCCATTGTGAGATTAATAAAGTTTATCCTTTTATTAATCTATTTCAACTATAATTTAACAGGTTTTATATTGACCCAAGCAGGATCTAAGCTCGATAATCTAAAAGCTGTAAATACTGTGGTTATCTCTGCAGGTGGCAGTGGCCCAGCAGCTGGTGGAGAGGGGGACAGACCCTGACAGAGTGAACGTTCTCTCAAAGACTGCGTTTGAGCTGGCGATGCAGCTGAAACAGAGGGACATCAAGGCTTACCTAGACGCCATCACCACCGTGCGGCCTCTGACAGGTGCTGCGTCGGCCCACAAGAATCATATCATGAACGGATTGCATTGCTCATAATGGGGCGCTGAACGCCATAGTAAATTAGTCGTATACTGAGGTTATTATCAGTAACATTATTTTATACATTTCGTCGTTGCCCCACTTTCTAATCTACAACAGACAAAACATAAATTCACAAAAAAAACTGTTCTTAACCAAACATTTGACATCAAGGTGTAACTTACATATGAAGGATCTCTTTTATACATTCTTTATAAATATGGACCAAAACATTACAGTATCTTATTATTAATTCCATAGAAAGTACCTGTACCAGTCATTTCTAACATGAGTATTCTAACTGAGCAGAGGAGCCACTCCACAGAACCGACCTGTACCTGGCCCTAGTCCTGTCCCTGCTTGTGCCGAAGAAGATTTAACACCATAGTTAGCAAAAGCAACTACATTTGTATGGAGATGAGCAGAATTTATGACAAGTTACACTTTGTATCTGTATTGCTAACTTTGTTGTCTGTTGTCTTTTTTCAAAAAGCAATAGAATAACCTTAAAGTCACGAGGCCCAACCCTGTAGAAGAAAGCTGCACAGATTCTCTGATCACCTGTTGAAAGAACTAGTAACTCATTGAAACTTTCTGCATTCTTTGGGTTAAAAATGAAAGTTAAGAAATATGTAAACGCACTTACTAAAACAAATGTCTGACTGAAGATAATATATATTCTAGTTGAGCTACATTTATATAAACTCAGCCCGCCACTGTGTGAGTTATTTATACAATGTGTTTTTAAGCCTTGCTTTGTCGATATATCACTGTTCTTTCCTCACAGACGATGACAGGAGAAGACCAGATGTGTTCAGTGCTCTGAAGTTGGGTAAGTTTGTGATGTTGAATGTTACAACAGCCTCATACATGTTTACAGTGAATTGTCTTTATATCTGTTTAATATTAGAGGAACGACATACAGCCACACTTTCTTAATCTAATCACTAGCAGTTTCAGAATCATACATTTTGGATCAGATTTATATTGTACACAATTACTGCTGGAATGGTATTAGGTTGGTTTATGTTAAGGCTTAAGAGACCGAAAAAACTATTATTAAACTATTATTTTGATTACAAAGATTATAATGTAAACAATTGTCGTGTATAGTAGTTGGCATACTTAAATACTGATAATTTTGCGATAGCTGTTTATTGTGTGTATCAAAATTAGTCATGTATCATGTTTGTTCTCATCAAATCACTTTGGTGAAGAATTGTAGTAGTAAGTAGTAGTAATCTTTATTTATATACCTCCTTTTCACTGCACATCGGAGTCTCAAAGCGGTTTACAATTGTTATTTTTGGGAGTGGGGGTGCCAGTACAGGAGGCACATGCCAGACCTATTGTACATATTTTTAGTGGTAGGGGAAACCGGAGCACCCGGAGGAAACCTACGCAGACACGGGAAGAACATGCAAACTCCACTCAGAAAGGCCCTGGTCCAACCGGGATTCGAACCCAGGACCTTCTTGCTGAGAGGCGAGAGTGCTATCCACTCTGCCACCGTGCAGAGTGGCAGAGTGATTGTATGCAATCATTAAAGCCATATGTTTTTGTCAAGGTAATTCTCAACTTGTCAAAGAAATCCTGGAGGAGGATCCAGCGCAGGTGAATTTGTCCAATCAGGAGGGAGCGTCGCCTCTTATGATGGCGGCGGTGAGCGGACAGCTGGAGGTGGTGCAGCTGATGGTGGAGAAGAAGGCCGACATCGACAAACAGGACTGTGTGCACGGATGGACCGCGCTCATGCAGGCCACGTATCACGGGTACACGGCACTTTCTCACCTTCTACTGAGTGGAAATAAATACAGAGCTACTGCCAGACTGAAGGGGATTTCTTTGTTTTGCAGTAATAAAGACATCGTCAAGTACCTGTTGAATCAAGGTGCGGATGTCAACCTTCGGGCCAAGAATGGGTACACTGCCTTTGATCTGGTCATGCTTCTCAATGATCCTGGTGAGTGCGTCAATAAACATCAACAATAACTACTTCCCGTAACTGTTTTCATCTATAACATTGGATGTATTATTGTAAAATACATTCTGATTATGATATTATTTTACATGGCCTCATTTATCACACTAAACTGTCGGGGGAAAATGAAAATAGTGTGTACACATTTCAGTGGTTGGTTGTGCATGGTACGAGTTTGCTCCAATCTGATGGGGTACTAATCACTCTAGCTGATACAAAGGCTTGTTAAATAAGGCCAAGTGGAGAAACACACGTTTCATTTTGCAGACACTGAATTGGTCCGTTTGCTGGCGTCAGTCTGCATGCAAGTGGACAAAGCCAAACACCGGGGAAGAGGCCTGATGGCGCGCTCCAAAAGCAGACAATCTCTCAACCATGTCCCACTGCCTCCAGATGACAGAGGAGGTCTTAAGGTAAAATTACTTATTACTATAATTATTGTCTTAAGAATGTACCACAATTCTACATAAAAGACATTGGAGACAATGTCAGATTTGAACAATACTTTGAAGAGGCCTCTGCAACAATTTGCCAGCATGTTAAAGCAAAGTTTGCTTTACAAACTGTAAGTATTTATTTTCTTTAAATGTTTTGTAATCCATGAAACATTGCATGGCAACAGCGGGAACAGTAGTGATAGAATGGCAGAGGGTGTGATTGTGGGGTGACGCTCCTCCACTGAACTGGGAAGGAGACTTCGACCGATGATCGAATCTGTGGTTTTCATCCCAGCTGCGGAACACTGGACCAGCTCTATTCTCTTTATGGGATTCTCAAGGAATCATGGGAGTTTGGTCAACCTGTCCTGGTGTGCTTTGTGTATCTAGAGAAGGCGTTAGCCAGAGCTGTTTTCACATCACTGGCAGTATGTCAAACCTGTTCCCAGTGATGAACTTCGCCAAGGCTGCCATTTGTCACCGGTTTTGTTCACTGTTGACCAAGAGGGTCAAATGTTTGGCCCAAGCGGTGTGGAGTTTGCATGTTTCTCCCGTGTCTGGGTGGGTTTCTCCAGGTATGCTGAGTTTCCCTCCACCTAAAACATGCGCCATATCTCATCATCCTCCATCCCTGTCCTTACAAGAGACCCAAGCGGCATTGCAGGATGGGTCAAATGCAGAGGACAGTTTTCCCTTTGGGGAGCAACAATATACTGTACTGTACCTTACAGTTTCTATTCTATTATGTCTTTATTTTATAAAGCCGTTTCCTGAAAATGTTACTAAAACAATTTTTCTTGCTGATTTTCTGGTATGTATTTGTCCATTTTTCTTTTGTGTAACTACTTTTCCATCTTTCTGCCACAGTCCTGGTGGAGCAGGATGTCAAACCGCTTCCGGAGGCTGAAGTTGACCCACACATTGAGACACGGCCTGTCGTCCAATCGTCTCGCTCCGTTTCCAGATGATGTCATGCACTCGCTGGACTCAACTATGAAGGCCAATAATAATTCCACAGCAGACGCTAACGGCTCTGCAGCACCAAGTCCGACTATCGCAGGGACAGAGTCCAGCGCCATGTGGGCTGTGAAAACTAAAGACACTGGTGAGAGTCTGCTGAGGGCATTGTCTGATTTCTATGATTATTGATTTGTTTTTTTCACAGGACCAGGCAGAGATAAAGAGGACCCCTTAATAACTACAATGGTATGAATTCAATCATGACTATCTATCAATGCTTTAGTTACAACTATACAAATAATCAATGAATCCCCAAACTAATTATGTTTTATACTTAAACTATAATGATTTTAAGAGTAACTGGTTGTAAAAAGAGTATCTTACTCCAGTGTACACAATATATCAACACACAATCTCAACAACAAATAACATTCTACAGACCATTTATAGTTTTTAATGATGTGAACTGTTGTCTTGGACTTCTCGTTTTTACATGCTTCTACATGATCTTGTTTCTATGCTGTTCGAGAAGCTGAGGAGTGGCGCTCCTCTGACGCGGCTCCCGAACGACAAACTGAAAGCGGTCATCCCTCCGTTTCTGCCGCCGTCCAACTTTGAGGCCTGGAACTCGGACCGGTCCCGTCTGCTTCGAGAGGGCAAGAGCGAAGCCCCCCGCCTGCCCATGCCCCCCCAGAGGAAGCTCAACAGCAGTGGAAACTCCGACATTGTGAGTCAAACATTTAAACAAATAAAACTATTGAAAATATTAACGCATTACTTGTTTCAATTTCCTCAATCGGATACTTTTTTCTGTGTGATGATTCTTTATGACATGTTGATCATGTTGATTATGTAGCGATTGCTGCAAATATCCAGACCGTAACACGTTGTTGTAACTGTGTTTCTATCAGTTATTCTACGTTGTGTTCAAACAATCTTGAATAGCTGTTTAGACAAAAGTAATGATGTTTAAACAGCAGGAATAAATATTGATTAAGGTAACTAGTACATCGCAGAATCAACCTTAGCTTAAAGACCTTATGACGGGTTTTAAAAAAAAAAAATAGTGGATATCAAAATTGCATGACAATGTCAATTTGAAAGAGATTCCGGCAAAAAAAAATCCTATATTTTATAAAAAGAACGTGTTTTTCATGAATTTAAGTTGTCTATGCTCTATAGCGGGTTACGCCCATGCATTGAAAACCATGGATCTATGCCACAGGACTGCCTTTTCTCTCTTCTCTCCACTGATGCCCAACACAATACTGCACTCTACAGGTGACAATTGCTCACTACACATAAATTGCCATTTTGAGTGTGAAAAAATGTCCAAGGTGGGATTTGAACCCCAGTATCTGGATTAGCAGTCCATCGACAACAACAAAATGTTATATTCTAGTAGTTATCTCAGACTCGCTGTACACGGCCTTGTCATCTTGAATATCCGCTAAAAAAGAACGAATACCAAATTGTAAACAACTTACAGCGTTGAAACGTACCCGTTCTGACGTCACCAAGGGCTGTGAAGTTTTTTCGTTTCTAAGGGCGTTGCTATGGGGTTATTTCGATTTGGGGGGATCAGACAAAAAAAACAACAACTGATTTTGAAACCTTTAGTAGTTCTCTTCTAATATAAAATGGTATTAAAACTGTATTTCTAAATAAATCAAACCCGTCATAAGGTCTTTAATTTGAAGTGAAATTTATTGGAATATACCAATTTTTACATGTCACACAAATGCTTTACAAAACAAGAAAGAAAACATGAAGCATGTTGAATGTTAAAATTTAGTTTGAAAAACAGTTTTCCCTCAGAGGAAAAATTACATCCAAATATTGCTTTAATAATATTTGTTTTTCTTTCTAAACTTCAGACGTCGATCAGTCGAGTTGTGAACCGCTCCATAAAGTTCCCGAACATCAACAAAGGTCCCTCCTCCACCTCTCCCTCAAACTCAGGACACTACCACTCCCCTCACTCTTCCGGAGGCTCCAACGGTGTCGCAGGGATCAACCGGGACTCACACAACCGATCAGGTCACAGTTATATAAGCTATAGAAGTACAGTTTAAATATAAAAGTACAGTTTAGATATACAAGTACAGTTTACATATACAAGTGAAGTTTACATATACAAGTACAGTTTACATATACAAGTACAGTTTAAGTAAATAAGTACACTTTAAGTATATAAGTGCAGTTTATCTAATGCTCAGTTGTTCAGTATCCTCCACTGCTCTTTTGCAGTCGTCTGCTTCTTTTCAGCTGCTGTTATCTCTTTCCAACATGTGTGTTTTGCCTCATGCCAAATTGTGCTGTCACTACATCCAGTGTAACTTATATCTTATGTAAACAATGAAGTGTCAAGTTTTATCTCCAACACATTCAACATAATCTATCATTCCGGGTTACTCCCAAACAGTCCATTTCTACTCTACTCTCTAAATGTCTGCCAATACATTTATTTTCTATTATTTCTTATTCACTTTGTTCAGCTTTTATCACTGGTAAAAGTAAATGGACTGAGATTATCTAATGTAATCTCAGTCTTACTGAGTTCTGCTGAATAAAACAGTCTTAAAAATACTTGCTTTAGGATTACTACATTTTCATTCTAAATTGAGGTAGAATGAAATGTATTAATGTTAGATTCAATTGCTTCAGTACATGGAGCATTTCTCTTGGTTAAATGCATTCCTAATTATTTACAAAATACTCTATCAGTCATTTTTTTTCCTATTGGAAAACAAATTGTACTTGAAATTCCCACATCTCCACCATTAACATAATCTTGGTCTATCATGTAAAAAGAAATAAACCATTCAAGAAATACTCAAATTGAGAAAAGACTTGATTTTTTGAATCTCTGTAAATCATCTAGCATCAGGTTTTAGCTCAACATGTGAACGAATGGAACTAAACATTACATCTTGTGTCCACCAGGGGGCAGCTCCGACAGTGTTCTCTCTCAGATTGCAGCTCAAAGGAAAAGAGCAGCAGGTTTAGTTGAAGTGAAGCCTCAAAGTCCTGAGAAAAATCAGAATCAGAACCAAAATCTAATCCAAATGCCATCGACGGCTCCTCCACTGCCCAACAGCAGCACACACCTGCCCGACATCCACTCCCCCCCACACATGGTCACGGCCGACGCCAGGAGGGTAAGCCTGCCTCTTCACCTTACACAGTTTGGATTAAATGTTTTTATATAAATTACTTCAATTTAAAATGACTGAGGATGAGGATTCTATGCAAAAACTGCATAAATCAGTTTCTGTAACGCAACTGAACTGAAGATCTTGGTATTTAAGCCAGTTCAAACTCTCAATTCACAAGTTTAATCAATTCTTTATTGCAACTAACTTTCTTGTGAGTACAGTTTGGGGCAGATAAAAGGTAGTTAGTTAGTAAGTTATTATTACATTTCTATTACGTGTTGTAACTTTGAGCCTGTTGTGTATGTCCTTTATCAGCGTTTGTTTGATGGTTAGAGCTGGTTCCAGCTGGAACATACTTTGAGGTTTTTTATCTATTTAATCTCAATGATTGCCTTTGTTCTTTGATTAATTATTGCTGCCTTCTTTTATACGTATTTGATTTTAATGCTGTATGCATTGAGAATGATATCCTGGTATTTTCATTTCTGATGTTCAGCATTTTTTGTTAAGTATTGAATAAAAAAATTACGACATTTAAGGACAGAACAGATTTAGGTATTTAGTATTATTGGATGTTTGAACAGTATCAGTATCCCACATTATCCTATATATCCAGATTATAGCCACATCTAAGTGTATTGTTTTAATTTGCATTCTTTGATTTTCCAATACATATCTTCCTGATGTCTTTTTTAATCTTTTTAGAAAATAGATTTAAAAAAGAGACCTCAGTCTGGGAACTCCTCCACATCCAAAAGTACCTCTCCAACCCTCACTCCGTCTCCGTCCCCCACACCGAAGCCTCCGCCCGGGGCTGGAGACTCTCTGTCCTCGGCCTCCTCTCATCCACGCTCCAAGAGCAGCGGAGGGTCCAGCAGCGGGACCATCACTGATGAGGGTGAGATCCAAAAAACTCCATTTCTGATTTCTGTTTTATGCAGCAATTTTCCAAAATGAACCTCAATACTAATCGATTGCTTTAATGTGTATTTTCTAGATGAGCTTTCTAGTATTCTAAAGAAACTGTCACTGGAGAAGTACCAGCCTATATTTGAAGAACAAGAGGTATTGTATCGTCTAACTTTTTTTTTTTACCATTGACATTAGATTTTGTTTGTCCCAACAGAAAGAGCCTGATCAAGTGAGTCACTATTTGGCGCTTCGGGCTGTGAGCTCTTTGGCTAAGTGAGGGTAGCCATCTCTAACGATGTCACAAACAATGAGAATACATACAAGCTATGCAAGACTACCCCAGTGTGCACCCGATAGGATAGCACACACCAGAGCTCCTGCCACAAAATAAAGTGAAAAACTGTGAAAAAACAAACTGTTTTAAGAGAGAGGAGCTTGTTAGTCAGACTTTACTCCAGAGTATATTGTTTGTGCTTTAAAAGTTTGGTTCCCCTGCTGTAAATAGACAAACAAAAAATCTATTTTCATGCAATCACACTTCTTTGTTCCATAGGTTGACATGGAGGCGTTCCTGACCTTGAGCGATGGAGACCTAAAGGAGTTGGGAATCAAAACAGATGGCCCTCGACAACAGATCTTAGCTGCGATATCTGAGTTAAACGCGGGAAAGGTACAGATACTATCCCAAAATGCCTCACACTAATACAGTATTAGTGTTACTGTTTTTATATTCTGTAATTTTATGAAATTTTATGTAACTGTTTTATGATATGTAACTGTTTTATAATGTGTATGTATGTGACTGTATGTAACTTTTGTCCAGGACTCCCTTGAAAAAGAGGTTCTTAATCTCAATGGGACTTTCCTGGTTAAATAAAGGTGAAATAAAAAATAAAAAAGTATCTAGGGGTGTGCTATTATATAGTGTTTCAGATTCATCATTTGAGCAAATCCACATATTGCCCTGTTCACAAACTCCAACAATCAATATTATAGTCTCGAGCTTGAGGGAGCACGGTTCACTCTCTGGTCTCTCTCAGAAGTATAATCCACCCAAGCAAATTCAAAAGATTGACTAGAGAGGTCTCTTTGTGAAAGAGCACAAGGACACATTAGAGAACCTGCGCCCCGGTTTTTTAAGTCCACCAAATCAGTGCAGGCTAAAGGCGGACATACTCTGCAGCAAAACCATCCAAACAGTTAATAATAGATACCAGTAAACTTTAAATGTTTAATTACTATTATGTGTGGGCTAAAACAATACATACATTAAACAATATTTTAAATGCGTGTGATACATACAGTATGTTTTATTGCATTTCAGGGCAGAGAAAGGCAGATTCTTCAAGAAACCATCCACAACTTCCAGTCCTCGTTCGGAAGCAGTGCCAGCAACTCCCGACAAGCTGCGGAGGCTCGATGTATGTTTTTAAACAAAACGAATGTAAACTCTTGAGCATAGAGACTGATGTGTTGTTATTGCATTTTTCTAGCTCCGACTGGCTGGATGAGACACCAGGTTTGTTCTTCCAACAAAAGGTAGCTCAGAAAACCGCAAGAGCGAAGAAGTGTAAGGAAACATTGAACACAGTGTCGTAGGCTGCGTCCAAATGAAGTGAACCAAGTTTGCTTATTTTTTGGAGACATGAAAGCGGCAATCAAGTGTTCAGCGGTCCACCAGTCTCTTGTGACATTATGAAGACTGTTGCATTTGCATCTGAAGTGAACCAGATCCACAACAACAATGTGAAACTAAAAAGAATAAAGGTACTGAAAGGAATGTAAGACATGTCTGATAAGGTCAGGGTTAGTTTCTCGGAGGTACCACAGAGCACTACGTCTGTACCTCAAGTGAAGGTTTAAGCTCAATTCAAGTCCTAATGTAGGTTTTATGTGGTCAAGTTCGAGTCCTGGTCTATTCCTTCTTTAGTTTCAGATCAGACTCAGTAATTTTGTACAGACCCTGGGAGTATGTTTACAAAGAATAAGTATTTAGAGTAGGCACAAAAATCAGCAATTCAGCATTTCTCCCAAACCGGTCTGATCAATCTGGTACCAGTCCACATGCAGGGTGTTTTATCCGATTTCAATGGCATCTCATAATTTTTTACTCAAACTTTAGAACTGCATTTGTAATTAAATCTTCCATTATACAAGCACAAGTTCAGGCAACTCACCTAATCAAATAGAAATAGAAAAAGAAAATCACATTTGCTGATGCCAGCAAATGAGGGGAAAAACAGTTTGAGAATTACTGCTATAGAGCATTTTCAATCTTGATCATAAGTGGAGAAACTGGATGAGATTTTGGTGCCTTGTGGATGTTCAATTGGATGCTATCCTCAAATTTCAATGACTAAAGTAAATGTTATGTTTTGAGGGTCCAGATGTGATGTCAGTGTTATACTGTACTTTATGTTTAAACTGGGCTGGAGGATAGAATGGTTTATAATCTGGTTCATATTCCTCAGCATAAAAACAAATCCAAGTGGTTCCATTATTCAACAAACAGCGACTCTCTCATAACCGAATGGTAGAACCTGAATGCAATCTTTCTTATAATGTGATAAACAGCGTATGAATTGCACTGTTGCTAATCAATGGATTGTATCAAGAAAAATACGTCGCAGCTCAGAGAAAAACATAAAAAGATTTTATAATAGTCTCCGGTATGACTGTTGGAACATATGTGCACTGAAGAAGGAGAGCGAGGGATGTTTGTCCTGGAGGATTTCTGTAAAACTTAATTTGAGGTTTTTATCTCTTGCTTTTTATGAACCACTATGTAAACAGATGGCTCTCAAATGAATAAATAAACATCATGATGCAATATGTTGTTTTTTCAGCTCTTAGATACCCTTGTTTTTAGGTGTGAGCTGAGAGATGTTGATGAAAACGGATAATTTATAGTCAAAATATTATGTTCTTTTAAATTTAAGGAGGTGCACTGAGCTTCTGTTTCCACTGGGTCTGGCTTGTTTTTTTACATATCTGGTATTGGTAAATTACTTTACTTAAACATGACTGTTCTTTTCACGTCTCTGACAAGTTATTCAAACTTTTTTTACTATTAATTATTAGTGATGTGAGACTTACCGTTGGTTTGGTTTACTGTGATCCATGTTATTGTTGATGCAGCTGCTACTTTCCCCCAACAGATGGTAGTGGTATCCTTTTGGGAAAAAAACTATACATGCGTTAAACGTTGTTGGTAATTGAGCCAATGACAAATATTACTAAATTAAAGCTGGGGTACCTACCTTTCAAATACATACCATTGAACTATGTTACAAAATCGATTCAGATCCTCATTCCCAAAACAAAACCATCAATCTCTATTTTTTCGCATGTATTTTAAAATCATCAGCTGTGCAGACTGATTTGTTGGCAGAATTATACTATGATATTGGTTCTATTTGATGAAGAAAAATGTACTCGTTACCCAGAAAAAAATAAGAAACTTTAATTGGCCTTTTATTATGGAAATAATAGTAATCGAGTGTGGAGACATAAAGGCGACAGAGTTAATAGGAAGCACCCGTCAGTTCTTTCTTCTAACTGTATCCATGTGAAGATTGATTACTTAGATGTCTCCTACTGCTGGACAATATAGAAAAAGAACTGTAGAGGAATACATTTGGGATGTATTAGCATTTCTGTGGCGTGTGGGCTGCAAATGGACTGACTCATTCCATTTCCCCAGCGATATTTTGCTCTTGACATAAGGTTTTGATAGAATGTAATGATATTGTTTGTAACTGTCAATTTTCAGTAGTCATGCAAGATCAGTCAAGGAACACGCTTTTGTTGAAACAAGTGAGTGAGAACATGCCGTAATAAAAACATAACAATATTTCACACGTTTTCAGTCATTTCTGATGAAAGAGAATTCTCTTCTGTATGGTTAAAGTAAAAGACTGGTCCAGAGTTGTCTTCAAGAAATATTAATGTATCAAATCCACTTTATGTATAGAGCAGATTTGTGCTGCACAGAAAAAATAAAATCATAGCAATAAAAATGAGCAATTAATGTATATTTTCCGTAGATGTCCTACAAAAATAAGAGATATTTTTCCACATGTTTTCTTGATTTTTGTTTGTCTTTTCATGTGTTCAATATACATTTTGCAAATATAAAAGTAACTGACTAAGACATTATTCTATGCTGGTTGGAATGGATGTGGAATGAATGCAAAAATGTGATATTGATATGAATCTGTTCAATATAGTGAAATTTATCATGAATTTGACTGTAACTGTTTATCATCTAAATGAATTAACTGAACTGAAGCATTAGGGGTGTGTTGTTCCAAATGCCCACTTACATAGGGCTGCTGGATACATTATTTATGGGTCTAATAACTGTTCTAAACCATTATTTGTTTCCTGCAAACTCAAACGTTATCCTGGCCTGAATTGCCCCATGTTTTAAAGGGGCAGCATTTTGGTTGTGTCAAAAATCAAAAGATAAAATGAGGAAGCAACAGACAGAGAATGCATGTCACTAACTTTTTTGATCAAAAGATTTTAGGGACAGACTTATGTGTTGCCCATACCCATGTGCCCTCATAACTTAAAAGTTTAAACGTTTTTTTTTGTTTCTTTCACCAGATCTTCCAGTCTGACTGGTTTACTTTTATTGCAGTTGAATAGAACAATAATAGAAATGATAAATATTGTTAAATATTGTTAAAAGTGGGACCCCATAGACTCACTTTTAACACTTGTTTCAAATGGTCATGTTGCCAAAACAGTAGTTGCCTGGGTCAGGATCAGCCTTTCTCTGCACATCTCTCTTTCATCTGTGACTCAGTGGCTTCTGTTCGTTAGTTTACTTCACTCACAGAGAAAGAGAGAGAGCGATGGAAAAACTAGGACATCTCACTCTGGACTTTTATGACGAATACAACCAAGCTAACCTCTCAGTGAACTCTACACTGGCCACAATTGACCTTCTAAAGAGCCAAAAATCCAAATGTCACCAAAAGATTATCCCTACAAGTGGAAATGTTGATCGACACGTGTGGCTTGTGTAACACAAACGTGATGGAGAATCTCAGAGTGAAAGAGAAAAGCTTAAAATAAAGTCACTGATGGAAGAGGAGAATACTAATAATGGAACGTAACCATCCAATGATTGGTGCTCATGTGATAGCACTGCACAATGCTTTACTAGAAGTAGCCTATTTTTTATCATTATATAATTTTTATATACCATTTATGATTATATCATATTTATAAATATGAGTCAGTAAATTTGTGATTTTCAGACCATACTATTATACTTATTCGAAACATCACTTCGAAATGTGTCCTTCAGATGAACAAAGCACTTATGACACAATGCTAGACAATAGTAATGGTAATAGAAATAGTAGATATGGTTTTCTCTGTGTTTTATTCTACGGGGACAGTGCAAAACTGACATGTACACTATCATCACAGTGTACAGCTTTTACACACACTCTGGAAGAATCACATTTTCTAGCTGAAAATTATGCATACAATGTAATACTACATCTGAAGTCAATGCAACGCCAAAGCTAAACCATGATTCAGTAGGCATCCTTATGCTTCTAATGTTTTGTTGCTGATTCAGTCGGCCATGAGCCTGGACTTATTTGGTGGACTTAAGTCACCACAGCAGGTCCTATAGGGTGAATATATCTGCGTTCTCTGTCCCAACGAGACCTCTTTAGCCGGTCTTTTGAATTAACAACTCGTTTGGGTGGATTATACTTCTACTACAGAGATCAGAGTGAACTCTGCTCCCGATCAACGCGCATGGGTCAGCTCTGTCCTGCTGATCGCACTGACTCAGGCTTGACACAATTATATGGATTTGTGTTGGAGTTTTTTAGACTATGAAGTGCCATGGGGTGACCAGTGGATTGGTTAAAATGTTAAAGATTTGTATTAAAAGTATGAAATCAGTTATATAATAGGCTCTGTGAGCTACATGTGCCAAAAATGTCTACCTGCTCTGTGCTATTTGCTCTATGCTCATTAGTGCTCTATGCTCATTAGTGCTCTGTGCTCATTAGTGGAAGTAAATTATTAAACCTTTTGTCTCTTGTCATGTGTACACTTAAGTATGAAGCTTAATGAAGTGCTCTGATACTGTATGTTTGCATCAAACAAGTCATGCATAGTAAATAGCAGAGACCTTTCATTTCTCCTCCATGCATTGATCCTCTCATCTATTATAGAATAAGGAACTGTGATCAATAATAACTTCACTGTTGCATCTGCTGCTCTGCTGTGCCTTGTCATCTCGGTTCTCAAAGGTGTTGCCAAATGTTACTCAAGTAACCATGAAGCCTGGAGTCCCAGAAAAGGTTGAAACTCAATCATCTGGATTACTTTTAGGAAATACACTAAATCCTTTTCTGGAAAGAATTGTCATTCAAAGATTATAATTTTGATTAAAAAAACCTTCAGCAGTCTTTTCTTCTATATACTTGTAGGTTTGTATGAAGTTATGTGAGTCAAAAAGTTTTACAGCATTTTCCATAAAACATGGAAAAGGTACAAGGACATAAGGGTTATATTCAGTAACTGAAAACTGCCTGGATCCAGGATTTTGTTTAAGGAAACGGAACTGTTCCTCTTAGCAGAGGCCTGCGCTCCACGAGTGCTTTTATGGTTTGTTTTGTGTTCTCAAATAAATCTTCATTGGATCTATTTGTTGGTTCCTTGGAAAAAATATTTGAATGTTACGATCAAACTAATCTAACTATTGTGAAACATTTGTACTTTCATTGTTGTTGAATCCAAGAAGAACATCTACATTTCCCCACTGTTGGACGAACAAAGGATCTCTTAATCTGAAATGACTCGTGTTGGTTCGTCTCAGATGCACACATTTGTGTAAGTGGTTGTTTTTAACGCATGACTTTTTAATATTATTTATTATATTATAACATTTACTTATGTTGTTGTTGACCACTGTGTTTAGGTATTGATGATGCCTCAATGTTAAACTCCTGACTCCTATTATTGGCACTGTGCAATCACGCTTGATCATTAGTTGTAAATGTGCAATACTTTCTAAATGTGTGTTTGTGTAAGAGTCCAGACTGACATAAAGGTGTACCTGTAAACCCTGCAGTGCTGTGGATGTGTCACAGATGTCCACAACTACTGCAAATGGCAAATAAATGAATCTGAATCTATACACTAGGCGTGTTGCGTGAGAAGCCCTCTCCTGCTCCACAGATCACAGTCTATAATCTGAGGCTAATCTGGAGGACAGCTCAGATAGTGTTGCCTGTGGATTTACATTGATACCATGTCTCCCTGTGGCTTTAATGGCAACTACTGACAGTGTTAACGGGACCTCTGAACCAGATCCCCCTCCTCCTACACGGCACAGAATATACTGCCAATGATAGACAGAGCTGACGTATTTTATGTTATCACAATGGTCAAACAATAGTTATTTTATTCTGCATATCCACATCTGAATGTGTTATACAATTGTTAAGATTGTGGGATTCTATTCTATTCTAATTTGTGTCAATTTGTTACAAGCAGTCGATATAGAAATCCTGAATTATGACATTTTTCCTATAACATATCTAATTCTTCCACAGCTACTGTGAATATAATCTATTTTCTTACCCACAACTGTTCTTTGTGTCCATTGTCATCATTACTAGCTAATACCTTAAGTCCTACTAATACGGTTGACTTTATATACACACTATTATTAGTAAGACATTGGTGCAAAAAAAAAATGGAATGTAGTCCCATTTTTAAGGAAAACCTTGATTAAAATGTCACTCAAACATCCATGAGTTCACTCTACAGATTGTAAATAGCTTTCAGATTATACAAAGATTTACTCACTCTTGTGTAATCACTTTATGAGTTCACACCAGAGAATTGTTTGTGAATATGTGGCCTACTGCTACCGACCAAACGGCCGTTCAAACAATCTGAAAGTTTTACTCACACTGGATTCATCACTGTGATCACTGCTTGTTTTGATGTTTTCATACTGGACACATTCACAACACACATCCTCCATTATCCACACATCCTGTAATGTTTAATTTGAACACCAGGTGGCATCGACAACACAAAAGCATCAACAATAGTTCCCCCCCCCCACTTTATTGATGTATATTACATACTACAGGCATATAATAAAATCCATGATAAATGCATAGACACAGATACTATATGAGTTTGATAAAGACATAGATTCATCCTGCTGTAACGTTCTATGATATGGTTTTGGTGAAAGTGCGTGGCACAACCTCCACAGCTGCAGACATAACGAATCTATTTATATGCACATTCTGCAACAGGCTTAAGACTGTTTATGTATGAACGCGTTTAGCCATAACAGTTCCGTAGATAATGCGTATAATGTCCCTTTAATTGTATAAGTAAACAAAAAAACAAAACAAAAAGTTTTCTAAAATCACACATCAAATAACTGAACACAAAGGCAAAGAAAATACATAAATCCCAAATCCCAAAAATCGATTTTACGCGCAGCAATGCATCCCTGTTTAAATTTCGGTCGCGACCCCAGCGCCTGTCCACAATGGTCCAAACCACATCCACCGAGAGCGCGCTGACTATACGCGACCCCCGAACGGGTCAAGCCGCGGGCCTCACTTGCAGATTTGTATGTTGTGAAATGAAGAATATTGGTCCGTGTGCCGCAGGAGCAGCCCTCTGGCGGCGGGCGCTGCGCGGTGAGTGCGGGATGGTTGTGCTCGTCTGCTGCTCTGTCCTTCAGAGATCCTCCCTCTGTGATGATGGACTGTGCGCTTCAAGGGCTCGTGCTGCGTTCAGGGGAGACGCGGAAATAGCAACACGAACCGTCTCTGTTACAGACTAGTCTATATTTATATCTGATAGCATCTCATGTACAATAGTACCCTACACGATTTTGTGTTCATGCCTTAATTTGAAATTCAAATAGTCACGATATTTGAGCAAACATTGCTTAAGAAAAGCTTTGAAATGACATAATTTATTACATGTAGAGTTTGACCCTGGGGAAATGACAGTTTTGCGTCACAATTCAAGAACAGTTAGAGAAAAAGACGAACTCCAAACAAAATTAAAGTCAGAGTACCGAACTTTCTATCCATAAATACTGTTGTTTGTCCCAACAGAAAGGGACTTTGTTGTGAACAAATCAGACCTCTGCATCTTCTGCATTCTGTGAGTCACTATTTGATGAATTTACTAAGCAAGTCTTCACTTTTTCACTTTTCCAAACATACAAGCATGCCAAATTACAGTGATAGAATCAAGAAACTATATGCATGATAGGGCTCTTTAGATATCATTTGATAAAAGATCGTTTGTTTGGTCTCATACACAACGGCTTATATGCATTTCTTTATCGTAACATCCAGTTGATGGCAAGTTTTATTATACTATTATTTCTCTAAATCCTTTCACTGTATCTACCTAAATCTATAAATTCCCACTCGTGCACCAGCCATGAACGCGCCCTGAGCTTGTGCGCCGCGCGCTCCGGTGTGTGCGTTGCTGCGGCCGCGCGCTGTTTGTGAGGCAGAGTTGCGTGCGAAGAGCCCGACATGTCATTCAGAGGAATCCGGCACCTGAAACGCGAGCAAGTGAAGGCGACTCAATTGGGTATAAAGCATCAGGCCACATCTGCGCGCACTTCAGGGCTGATCCCACCGCGCGGACCCTGGACTTGTCATTTCATTTGGATTTATCCTCTGGCTCAGTCCGCTCAGTGCATCCTGGGAGACGCGACTATTTTTTCAAGTGAATGACTCCTCATACAGCTCTATACTGGAATTAACCAACAGCAACAAAGCGTTTGGGTCAGTCCTGTTGTTTTCCTTTAATCATTTTAGTTTGACTTTAGTTTGCTTCTCGTCATTTGAATTTGAGTTCAATCATTGGACATCACAAAACTAACTAATGTTCAATGAAGTTGCATAGCGTTCAGTAACTTCCTACAAGTACAAAACCAGCACTGTCCATTCATTTTGCAGCTTCTAAAGTACTCATAATATTTGACAGTTTCACACTTTGGCTTTATCAATGCTTTTATTATTAACTGTTGCACCAGTTTCTGCAGGTTCTAACTTTGTTTCCAGTGCTACATAAAGTTGTGCCCTCTCCACAGCGCACCTGTCACCTCCACAGAGCGCCGGACCATCATGATTCCTCCTGGAGACTGCATGTACGCCGGCAGGAAGAGAAGGAAGCCCGTCCAAAAACAGTTAAGGAACTTGTCAGTGTCTTCTTTTGATTAGGTTTAGTTTAAAAGTTACAAAGCATCTGTTTTTTTATGTTCAAGTTACTTCATCACACACTTTTTGGACGTTTCTTGCATGTGTTTTTGCAGTAATTTTTAAATAATTGTTTATTTTTTGGTCCATGCATCACATTGTGAGTTTACATTTATTATAACTTACATATAATAATAGCGATCGTGGAATTTTTCATTTTTTCATCTGTGCATAACTTCGAGTCGCCCAATTTTTTTTATGCCATCTTCACTTTTATTTGTAGTAATTTCTTGTGTAATTATCTTGACAGAAAAACCTGGAATCTTTTAATTGAATATGATAACGTAAAAAGAGAAGCGGTTAATTTTCCAACGCATTGGATATTAGAAAAGTTTAGCTGATTTGTGCAGCCGCAGCAACACGCACTGACACATGTTGCATGTCTGGATACACGCTTAACTTTGTGTGTACTTGGCTTGATAGATTTTCACATATCTAACTTAAAAGTCTCAATGTTAACATAATAAGCAAAGTGATATTAAACTAATCCATATATAATATAATTTAAACTAAAAAGGGTAAGACTTTTCATATTTTATTTTATTTCTAATCTGTAAATGCATTTATGTTGTCAAACCTTATTTAGCAAACAACATGGGTAAGAAGGGAGAGGTTTAATGTGGTTAATGTGGTCTCTGGTTATGGTGTGTATGAAAACCTTCAAAAGATTTATGTGTGTGAAATCCCTCAAAAGATTTTAACAGCAACAAACTGGGCTATTGAAAAGTTAGATTTGTTAGTGGGACATCAAAAGTAATAATGCAATCTTGTTTTGAAACGGCTTGTGTTTTAAACTTGTGTATAAGCAATCATCCATTAGCGGTAGCCCCAATATAAGTTAAACAATTAAGCAATTTTGTCCGTGCTGCTTTGACTGACGCTTTGAAGCCGATCCAACTCGTGTAGTGAGAAAATTACCCGTTAATATCATTGCTCTGTGCCAACTTTTATTAACCCTCTCCTCTCCTCTTTATTATTGTTTTTTAGGAAGCCTTCCTCTGCCAATGAGAAGACTAATCCATCCAAGAGGCACCGGGACCGGCTGAACGCGGAGCTGGACCGGCTGGCCAACCTGCTCCCCTTCCCCCCAGACGTTATCTCCAAACTGGACAAGCTCTCCGTGCTGCGCCTGGCCGTGTCCTACCTCCGCGTCAAGAGCTTCTTCCAAGGTAGGACCAGAACATTTTTCTTAGAATTATACGTTTAATTTGTGGCTTTTTAAATTTTCATTCCCTATTTTGTGGCTTGAATTGTTTGCTTAATTTAAAAAAAAGAAAGAAAAAGAAGCCCTGCTCTGCTCAAATGAATTGCCCCTGTTTAAGTTTAACATCTCATGGGAAAATACCGTATGCTTGGTTACCTGAAAGGCCTTTTATTTTCATTCATTCCTTCAAACTTGTGTTTTTGACAAGCTGTCCATATAGTTTATCCGTATACAGTCCACTACACTTCACTCATATGATTTCACAAGCAAACAATTTCCAAAGTGCTGCATATTACCCATATTTTCTATTCTATTGGCCTATAGTAATATCTCCCTATGTTATCTCAGTATATTATTAATTTGACATTAATTTTCCTGCCCTCTCCTCTCCTTCAGCAATTATTATGTTCATTCTCAATTACTCTCAAAGGAATACATTTTTGTGTGACTCAATTTGAATAGACAAAAAGTCATACAATTGGTTGATGTCAGTTTAGAACATGCACACACAACATTTTCTTTGTTCTTCAATCAATAACAGAAGTATTGTATATAGTTGTAGTAGTTGAATCATGATATTGCTTGACGTTTCAATCCTGGGTAGCAATACATATGATATTTTCTTTATCATCTTGAAACCATATTTTTCTTTTTGCAAGTACCAATTTGGCTCAGTCAGGGCCCACAGTTATCACATAGGACAGCATTTAAACGGACATTAACAATGGCTATTCACGCAGAGCAAGACTTGACTCATGTTGAAGCTAATGTAGCTAGAAATGTGAAAATAATATGTTTGTAAAGTTTATTAACACATTTAGATAATTATTACAACTACCACATGTTTTACCTGTCATTTTCCCCCAATACTTTATCATAGAAGTATCTCGTAACAGTTCTTGGATCAGTCTAGTCGTAGTAATTACAGCAGCAGCAGTTACACAAGCAGTTGTAAAAAGTATAAATTGCCCTTTAGCGGTTCTCACTTCCAAATATTCTAACTATGTCACTTTTGAAGGATGCAACAATAAATTTTGCATTTTAGTCCAACCAATATAGTGGCTGTATATATTTAACAAAGCCTAAAGTGTGTTTGTTTGCATGTGCTGAGACTGAAGGCCTGTTAACAGTGGCCATCTTAACTCTCCTTTGATTCTGACCATAATGAGATTAATTAGAGCAGAACATGAGGGATTTTGGTCCGTATACATCTGTGATCCAAGCTCCACTGCCGCTCCTCTCTCCTGCTTTATAACAATTACAAAAATAAATACTATGCAAATATTCTTGGAACAGTCAAAGAAGCACTCAAAATCAGCAATAAGTAATTTTTTTTCCCCTTACGTTTTCTGACTTGTATTGTTAGCGTGACCTTCTCATAATATTTATCCCAAGTGGTTTTAAGTTCATAATAATGCTTGAATTGCTCATGTCAATTGTCAGAATCGTCTGGGATCAGCGTGTCATTCTGTACATCCGCCACTAGAGGGACTATATGAAGTCAAATTGCAGCAGGGATATTCTCAGTTTTCACAAGCTTGCACAGTGCAGGTGCAAGGGCACTGAAGTTGTTGATAATAATGGATGCAAGACATATGCAAGAAAAAGTAAATGACAGTTTTGTGGGTTTTTTTTGGAAAGCATCCTCAGCTTTTGTCAGTTGTTGCGTGACTTGTGAAAGGTGGGGTGAAGTTGTGTGTGTGTGTGTCTAGATGTGTGTGCATTTGTATGGCACTATATGCAAATACAGCCTGAGGGCCTGTGCGTGTGGCGCCATACGAGGCTCTGTCTAAGTGTACATAATGACGCATTCATTTGGGATAAATATGATTGTGTGACAACCCAAATTTAGTTATTCAGCCGTACAGCTGCATTAAAGCTTTAGTTTGCTGGTGAGTAGTTTGATGTTTTCCTGCAAATTCTCACTTATGTCTTTATGAAATGATAATGAATGTCAGAAATATGTGGGGACATGCTTGTGGGAAGCCAGATTGCTGTAAAGAAACTGTAAATTCTGCTACTTGGGCACCTAAACAAGTCTTGCTATCACCACCTGGAACATTGCTATTTCACTTCTAATTTTTATACGATTGATTACACACATCATTCCTCTAAACCCTTGTGCTTTTTCATGTGTGGTTTTCTAGATTGTTGTTCATTTTTTACAGTATTTTGTGTGCACTTGGGTCCCATGCCTGTGTCTCCAGCTCTGTGTCTGTTGTATATCTGATTGTGTTGACAGCCGCAGCCCTGAGTCCCTCCTCCTCCATGTTCGCTCGCTGCGCTCCCTGTAATTGCTGAGCTTGTTAAATATTTACCCAGGGGATTACCTGTGCCTCTGCTTTGTCTTTCTGGCCCAATTGTTCCAAGTTTATTATATACATTTTCGTTATGATCCTCTTGGCAAAAGGTTATTGAAACGTAATCCCTTTTTAATCAAGACTGCATCATATTGCAAAAATGTATGCACTATTGATCGCAATGAGAAATACTTTTCCTTCTGTTTTATATTGACTCAATACGAAGGTGGAACCATCTGGAACTACTTTTGTACCTTTTGTCTCCATAGAGATACCATTGCTTTATTTGGAAAGTTAATTTTACTTTTATATGAGCACTGCCTTTCTCCAGACCTGATGTGTACATTAGTTTGTTAGCTTCACTTATAACTGCGGTACCTATTAAAAGAAAATTCAATTCATAGTTTCTCACTCTCAATACAGTTTTCTTCTTTCACTAGTTTGTACATGAATTTATTATTGTTTTTTGTATTTGGAAAAAAAGCTGATCTCGAGAGGACCACCCTAACAAGCTCTCAACCAATCAGCTCTCAGCCCAAAAGATCAAATAGTGACTCACAAGGATTTTTCTTAAAAGTATGTAAGTAAGTAAGTAAGTAAGTAAGTAAGTTTTTATTTATATACCGCCTTTTCACTGCAGATCTGAGTCTCAAAGCGGTTTACAATTGTTAATTTTGGGCATTTGTATCTCACTCCACACAGAGATGGGAGCGGGGTCGCCAAAAAAGTATGCAAAGTTTACTCTGATAACATGTTGTTGTCTGATTAGTTCCACTTTTTTACAAGACTCATTCCATTGCGACAAACACATTAATTGCTACTATACATTAAGTGTCCGATGTCTTCAGTGCAGCAGGTTTGTCTGTTGAGTTTAGGGATAAATAATCAACTTACAATCTCCTCACACTGACATCTGGATGGACTTCATTTCTTTGATGTGGCGTTGACTCAGTGACACACTTGCCTGTCGCCTTTTTAAACCCTTAATCCGCTGATCGTTTTTCTGTTTGACTAATTCCCGCTTACACTGATGCATTTTGGGATTTCTGTTTGGTCGCCTAGACCACACAGAGCAGTAGAAATGACACACTTGCTTTGGTTGTGTTGGTAATGCCTTTAAATCATATTCTGGAGTGCATAAGTGGATCTTATAGAAAAATGTACAGTGTCAAAATGGATGTTTGGATGTTTCTGGATGTATTTTAGCACCGTTTTAAATCCAATGTGAATGTGAAGTCTTTTTCTTTGTCAGTGCTTTTGTTTGGGGGGAGGTCCATCTCCAATTTGTTGCCAGTGACATTATTATTATTGTTTGGCCATGAATAGTCCACAATATCATCATTTATGTATTTGCAGCTTATTACAGGTGTTAATAAACAAAAAAAGCATAGATTTTCCTCTCCTATAGATTTGACTTGTAACCTGATCTGGTGGCACCTGTTTTTCTTCATGTGCAAGTTGAAGGCCTTTTTTCAGAAGTGGGACATTACAGTTACAGCCATAAACCGCTCACAAAAACAAGACCATTACAGGAAGAAGGTAAAGAGAGCACCCACCTGATGCAGTAGTCGAACAAACGCTGAAACTTTGGTCTGGACACCTGTTGTTATGCATATATGAGACGGTGATCAAAAATACAGCCAGACAACATGGCATGAAACATTTAGACTAAAAGGGCCTCCATGTGTATTAAAGGCAGAAAAAACAGCAAGGAAGCACTAGTCTCAATACAGTGTGAAAGAATGACTCTCCTTCTCATTGAGTCCAGGATAACACGCTCTTAAAACAAGTCTCTCCGTAGAGTTTTTTTTTTTTTTAAGCCAGATTTTAGTGCAATGAATAAATGCAAAATAAAGTCTTGTCCCTTCATGAGCTCATTTTGAAGATTTTAACAAGAAAAATACAACTTTTTGACACATTTGTGGTTGCCGAGTCAAAAGATCGTTTGAGAATGCAACAGCGCCTTTTTGAATCTATTCACCATCAAATAATCATAATTTTCTTATCCAAAATATTATTATTATTATTTTCCATAAAGATGAATTGACAGCTGCCCTCCGACCGAAAGAGAATTCAACAACGTGAACGCAACCTATGAGTGAAAACATACTTGGCTTAATGTGGGGCAATTCACCAGAGGGCCGCGGAAATAGTTCTGAGGTCCGCGTGTTGCCCTGGGGCCGCAGTTTGGACACTCTGGCTCCAGTTGAATGTTTTCTAAATGTCAGTTCTGTTCAGTAATGATCCACTAAAATGTCAGTGAATAAGTGATGCATGTAGCAAAATAACATGGCACCAAATGGTCTCTGAAATGGTGTATTTAGGAAGTGCATGTTGCAGTAATAAAAAGTGACGTTTGATTCTCCGGAGCTGCATTTGGGGGAGAGTTGTTTGCCGTGTTCTGTGGTCATGTCGCTGCTGTGGAAGTCTGTGGTTTGTGTCACATGAATTTTCAGACAGACGTTTTCTCTCTGTTTTTTGAGAACAATGAATAAGCGTCAGAGCGTCTCTCGTGCCAACGGATACAGTCTATTTGCAACTGACTGGAAAAGTTGAGATTACATTTGAAGAGATCTATGTATTTTATCTTTCCTAGTTTTTATCTTATTTCCTGTTTTATCTCGTTCATGCATTTATTTTTTTCAATTTGCTATTCATCTTTGCC